TTATCAGAGCAGACATTCTCTGTGTCGATCTTGATAAGCCTCGTCGTGGAACAGGCCGTTGGCTCATGAAATAGGAAGTTTTTTGTGTTGAAACCGACATCGGTGTTCCAGTAGATGGAGTATTTTGAGTACTATCGGAGATGTATATATCATTGGACGAGACCTTTGCGTTTAATTTATCCAAATAAGGCCATTTCAACTTCTGTGCGAAGTGTAATAGTCCGGCCAATTGTCGAGTCTCATTCCTCCCACGAAATGTATATGTTTGGACACTTTCGGGTGGTGCACTATTCTCGACAGAGGCTGATGCTCCAGTCAACGATGCCAACCACCCAGAAGCTTTCCTTTCTGGAATGATTTCGGAGACACTTTGTTCAATGCGGATGTTTTCGAGCCAGGATCGAGCTAGGATAAGTGACCACTTAACGCTGGGGGTCATACTTTTTTCGAGCTTTTTAACATCAGCAGGTTTAGCGGGCTCTAGACCATTATCGATATTCTGAGACACTGTATCAAGTCGCACTAACAACTCACACGAAAGTAGTATTTGCAACAACAGCCAATACTTCTGATCCTCAGATTCATTCGTGAATTCACTATTGCTAGAGATGCCATCTCCTAGATCACTTTCGAGTTGCTGGCCCCATAGTATCTGTCCAAGACGAATTCTCCACTCAACAAAGCTAAAATCAACCCAAATATTAGGTTCAGCTAAGACCTTCACAAGCACCTCGATTTGGACCTGTAGACTATAAGGATCATCTGTGTCGGTAACTCTAGAAGGTGGAAACAGAATCTGTGTGAATAGCTCGGAATACAACTCGACAGTAGAGCGGCTATGCATTTGATCCTCGTGGTAAGAAACACCAATATCCATGAGATGTTCGTAAACAGCTGACTCATCGAGAGGTCTTATTCCATCCTTGCCATTTGCGAATCCCCTTCGCCTATAGAAAAGTGAATAGAGCCCAGAGTCAGGCTGTATATCCTCAGATTCTTTCAACGCATCGGCTACACCTAACTCCAAAGCCGCTTGGTACCCCACAGTTCCCTTTTCAATACCCTGCATACTGAGCATGTTCGGTCGTTCGCGGCATCGTGGCATGAAATAGGCACGGCGTTTCCCAGTAACCTTGGCACCTTCTAGACTTATTGGAGCTTCTCTCGTAATATGCGGCCACGCTGTGATACAACCCCATGCTTCGTCTTGTATTTGCACATGATCGGACAGATCTCGTATCTGCAAACTTAAATCCCAAGGGAAAGCTATCTTAGGATACGGTGCGCCTGTATGATGGCCTTCGGAACGTGCGTAGAACTGAGGAGCTCCAGAAAATAGTTCGTGAAGCTCTTGATCCGTAAGAGGTGAGATTATTCTATCTAGTTTCTTGTAAGGCCTAGAAGATATCGCTTCCGAAGACGCAGACTCCTTGATTGAAGGTGGTGGCGGCGGAAGAGGTTTATTGTGATTCGACATGGGACTTGAAGGGTTGGTTGTGGGAGTTTGTATGGGGATTGTCTGGTGACGACGAGTAATATCAGCGTCATTCCAAAAGTATTACAAAACAATCACCGGTGATTCAATAGAAAAGTAAGTTACCACGGACTGCTCCTTCCCCGGCTTGTCTTTGGAAGAGAAGCTAGAGATTTTGAAAAGGTTCCGAAAGAAGTTGCGCTTCGATTTTCTTTGTAACTTCTCTGGAGTCACGCTCAAACTCAAGCTCATGCGATTCTCATTTTGACTTTCACTTCTATGCTTCAGAAGAGAAGATATTGAAGGCATCTTGGAAGTGTAAAGAAAAGCTATTGCGTAGTAATTTATTAATGGTCATCAGATCGATCAGCATGCAGGAAACGCGATTAGGTATAGCAGAAAATAAATGGAAGGAGCAATAGAAATGGATATAAATGATGAGCCACTTATGTTGACAACCTGGTATGCGGGGAGCTGCATAAGAAGAACGTTGAAGTAAGAATAAGGTGACCAAACAAGTGCAATGAAAGTGCTTGTACGAGCAAAATGGCATATACAAGAGGTATTAATATTCGGAAAGATTTCCGAATCCCACAGTCCTGCAATGAGAGTTGCAGATTTGTCGTGGTGGTGCAGCATATAAGTATGTGAGTACCTAGGAGGTAAAGTAATGTAAGGTAAGCAGCTATCAATGAATCAATCATCAATCATCAATCATCAATCACATCCCTCTCTTTATCTGGTTCCAAGGCAGTGGATGATAAAATGCGTGGTTAAGCAACTTCAAGCAAGGATTCACGGCTCTGTATATGCAGTCGGTGACAGTTGCATAATAATACGACATATGCCCAGTGCGATACGGTCCGCCGTGACTATAGATTGCACTGATATGGATGTATTAATCTCTCTCGTCGGTGAAGGGGGGGACTGATGAATAAGTAAATGAGTGAATTGAACGAACGAATGAATGAGTGACTGAGGGACTGACTTGAGTGACGTGTAGGAAAAGAAAAGAAAAGAAAGGGTCGTGAGAAAGAAGGAAGGTGGGGTTGAGGTATGGGAGTGCGAGAGTGCTTACCTTGAACATCCATCCGAGCCATCCCATCCATCCGAGTCATCCCATCCATCCCATCCATCCGGTCCATCCCATCCATACCTTCCATACCTTCCTTGAACTTTCATACTACGAAGTAGGTAGACTAGCTCGAGACTAGGTAGGGAACAGGTAGGGACTGACAAGGGCAATCTTGAGTAAACACTGGTAAGTTATACTTACTAATTTGATAGTTACCATGGATCTTTGCATCTTTATTTATCTTCCCTGCTTTTCCAATGAACGACGAGGACAACACCTCTGTTGTTGGTCTCGGCCATTATTCCAGAAATGTTTTAGATATCTTGGACCTTTGAGAATAGTCGTACGAACTTCATTTCCGATGAGCTTATTCGATTATTTCTCGCGTTTGTTGCTTGTTATTGTTTATACTCCAGGTCGTCGGAAAATACAATTTGATGCTTCATTTGATTGGAAGGGAGGCTTTACGAGCATGTAATTGCAAGGTTCCAAGGTTACCTACTCCGTATCTCTCGTGCGTGTGGCGTATGGAAGTACCGTACGTAGCCTCAATCAAGACATTTTTGATAGCCATGACATGACCATCATCAACTTCCAATCTCGCGTTTTCGTTTCACTTCTTCCCATCCGCGGACTTCCTTCTCTTCTCTTCCCTTCTATGTTTTTGTTGAGTAATGTGCAGCTGACTTTGATTTCTAGCAGTCGTCTGCAGAAGCCCACTAGCTGCACCATCAACCAACCTCCTTTTAATTGACGGAGCAGTCCTTCTAGATTCCCGTTGGCTGGTACCCATAGTTCGGGACAGAGCTGACGTTATTCCGCAGAATTCATATTCATCCCGTCAAACTAAAGTCGGATCTGATGGCAATGTCTGATGATTCAATATAAATTCAATGTAGAAGCCCTGAAGGTTTCAGGAGTTGTGAGTATCCATGCAGTTCGTGGGTGGCTCAGTAACTCAGGGTGCATCCATTGTTTTGGAGCTATGATCAATTTCCGCCTTTTGCATGTATTCTGGCAAATCCTCGGTGCCATTTTGATATTGCTAAAACAACAACATGTACTACGATACTTTCTAGAAGTTGGGGAATACTTGTGCGCAGTGTCAAAACCTCGGATTCACATGAGCTTATGAGGTGGTACATTGTTTACCTCAGTTACTCCATCCATTGCAAAGGATTCAAAGGGGCTGTGTTACCCAAGACTCGTAGAGTCGTGGAAATCCCGCGCTACGTACAAATGACCCAACTAAATGTTTCAAGACACGTACGTCTGCAAATAGAACCGCTCTTCCAGCGGGGGAGTGGAGAGTACAGTTACAAGTCCCATTAGATTGAAACGTTCCCATGGAGCTGTCTTGAAGACTGACCGACGTGCAACTTGGCGGTGTCATATTGTTTCTTACTCCATGGTGTTGTCTTGATTAGCATCTCTGATTGAGCGCTTTTGACATTACTTTTTTATGTTCAATCGACATCTGTCAAGTATATACTGAATATAACTATCTTCGGATCTAGTTAAATATCGACATTCAGCAAGTGCTAGCCTTGATGGGTACTTACGATTTGATCACTTCATCCCATAGTTACGACCCACACTCCATGATTGGATCTCATTAAAAGAGATATGCCTATATGAATATAAAGTGAAAATGTCAAATATATCAAATGCCAATGATAAAGGGTAGTAATGAAATTATCGCCGTTGGAGATTCTCGAAGACAACCATTTCCATGGATGAAGCAACACTACCGAAACAGTTGGGAGTGAACTTAGCTGCTAAAATAGCATCTTTATCATTCTCGATCATAGAATGAACATTCCATGGTACTTAATATATATCTTATAAGTCTTTCTAAATTTGGGTTTAAAGTTGAGCATTTGATAATATCATCCCATTCCTCCTTCCAAAGTGGTTGCAGAAATACCTAGTATCTAACTCTATTACTGTTATTTTCCATGTCTTTGATGGAGGATCAAGTTTCATGGATTTCTAACGGTACTTATTTTACTCTCTTGAGTTTTAGACGAGTAGTCGAGAAGAATGCCTTGGAGATATAGATATCTTTCTAGTAGTTACTACTATCCTATTTCTACTCGACGAATAGTAGAGAATAGTATCCTGGAGTTATACATTGGATCAAGACTAATAATATCTTCGCATGGCAATTTCTCAATATTCGGGATTCAACCAGTCATTTCTTGATACTCTTTTGACCTATCAGACAACACTCTTGTATTGCCTGGGCTGAAGTTTAACGTTAATACAAGTTATATTTACTGCAAAGATAGAAGTTGCGAATGCTTAGAAACAGATTGTGTAGTATTCAACTGAAGTAGTTCGAGACCTTATCCTACATATTGTCCAATTCATAATAACAAAAATCATGCATCTATTATTCAAGACCCAGATATCAACCATCCTCATCCACGCATCTTCTCTCCTCTACTCCTATCTTTTCCACTCACCCTTCATCCCCTTTGCCACCCTCGTAATCTCAATCCTTCCATCCCAAACTGGATAAACAACCACCGCCAAAATGGCAAAGAAATGCCACACAATCGCCATCACAATCCATCCGCTGAAGAAACTCTTCGTAAAAATCCAATCACGGTAGAGTGGTATCGGCCACAACACAATCGTAACCAATACATTAACCACAAAAAATACACTAGCAATTTTCAGCCACTTGTTAATATGTTTTATGATTTCGTCTCCGAACGGGTGGACCACATCATCGAGGGGAAGTTGGGAGTTTGGTATTATAGAAGGAGGAGAGGGAGGACCGGCCTCATCTCCGCTGGTGATGTAGGATTCTTTCTTCGATTCATCTCCCGCATGAGCGACTTGATTAACAGCTTCATTACTGGGGAGTGTAGATGTCAATGAACTGTTTGCTTGGCTTTTATCTTCAATGAGTCCAATTCTCAAGAATTCGCGCCAATCGAATTTGCTTGGCCGAATCAACGAAATCACAACCGAGTATATACCCGGTGAGAAAAACGAAACGATAGCTCCATACAACCCTGGGATCTGTGCCTGCGTCGTTTGGATATTCAAGACACCAGACCAATACCAGGAGAGACTGAGCCAAGTAGCTACACCCGACATCAAACCCAAAATCGGTGCTAGTATAGCTGCTAGCTTTGTTTGTCGTGACCAGAGAAGTGTGAAGATCATGGGAAGGATACCTGGACAAGCGATAATGGGACGGAAATACGTTGACCAGTTATTTGTCGCTCCTGCATATTCGAGCATGATTGCGAAGCCAGCCATAAAACAACCATGAAATACGACACCCCAATGACTGACTTTGAGGGTTTTGCGATCTGAAGCTGCGGGATTGATATAGGTGCGGAAGAAATCGAGAGAGACAATACTGCTAACGGCGATCATGGATGAAGAAACTGTACTTGTGATGGCCATGAATACAAGCACAAGTAGACCTGTGGTTGCGCCTTTACCTAATAAAGAACGAAGGACGTATGGCATTACCATTCCGGAATTTACTTGGGTGGTCGTTAGAGTGTTGGGATAGTCGAACCAGATGGGAGTTTTTTCGATTGCGCGGGCGCTAAGACCAATAATGGTTCCTGTGCACCATGGGATTGCGATGATGACGATAGAGACGAGATCGTATGCTGGAACTGTCGAGTGGACTTCGGATGCGAAGGATTTCTGCCAGAATGCGGTGTCCATGAGGACAAGGGCAAGATTGCCGAATTTTAAGACGAGACCAAATAAGACGGCTTTGGGGGTGGTTAGAATAGGACTCTAAATGAGAGGGGCGTTGCAAGTCTATAGAGTCAACTTACCGCTCTTGGACTTCATTGTCAGAAGCGATCCTTCATAGTTGCCGGGGATATAGTCATCTGTAGCTTTGACTTTCTCATAGAGTCCTGACACACCCCCAATATGCTCATTGCTCAGAACCGCAAGCGAGAAGTAGATCAAGAGTATCAGAGCAACAGTAGTATGTAAAAAGTCCGTCAGGAACGTCGCTTTCAACCCTCCCACAGCCGTATAAATGACGACTACAAAGCAAAAGGATCAGCCCCGATCTTTCGCATTCCCATTACCCTCATGAACTTCATCAACATTACTCACCACCAGCCGGAATCAACACACATGCCGCAACAACATGCATCCCCGTCATACCCGTAACCAACTGCGCCCCCGCCAGAATCATACTCCCACAGCCAAAAATATTATTAATAAGATTCAGCACAATAAAAAGCCAATGCGCATAATTTCCATATCTCATCCGAATAAACTCAAGCGAGGTATGCGCATACGGAACCCTCAATTTCGCCACAATACCCAGCACAGCCATGAGTGCGATTTGGAAGGAGAGACCGCTGGCCCACCAGATGGGGAGGGCGATTCCCCATTTATACGTGTAGGCTGCTGAGAAAACACTCTCGTTGATCCACATCCTAGATGTAGGGTTTGGTTAGTATTGGATTTTCTTGGGGTCGGATTGGAATGGGAGTGAGGGATGGATGTATGGAATTACCAGCTTGAGAACACGGCGGATGCAGTGAGTCCGGTGCCGACGGAACGATTTGCTACCATGAACATTTCGGATTGATCGCTGTCTTCTGAGAGATATCTTTTTTGTATGCGAACGGCTGCGAGGATGATGAGACAGAAGAGGATGGATAATCCGACGATGATGCCATAGCCGTCGGCTTGGGTAAGAAGTTGTACGGCCATGTTGAAAGTTGAAATTACTTAGCAGTCACCTGTAAAGTGTGGGATAGGCTTGGATGTATAGTATATATAAGTACCATTGTCGAATATATGCGGGCCAGATCTAGTCTCCGCAAGCATGGGTGATGTGAAAATTGACGCACATGTTATCATCAATCGCAATGGCCACCATCACTTACCGTGCAAATTTAGATAAATGAATACCGTGATATACAGCTCAGCCTTGAGTGATTATTGGTTGATAATATTTGTTATTTGTCGTGATACACAAACTGGGTGGGATCGACCAATTGCGTTCATGCAGCTAGTGAGCACGCAAGATATACCAAAGCACCATCATCACCCCGGGATAAGATATTGTGCGTTAATCCGCACGACTTCATGTCCAATATCGGAACATTTTTAATGGTTGGCTTAATACCGGTAAAGATAAGCTTCTCGAAGACGACCTCGCAAAATCGATGCTGGATGATTGATCTCCGACTAGTAAGGAAGTACTTTCCTTCCAGAAACAACTGGTTATCACTTTTGGCTGCGGTCTCCAGCGCTCAATCTTCGATGCGAGAAAAAAAACCAAATTTGACAGATGAGAATCCGAGAACGGCAGAATAGAAAGTCTTAGAACATAAAGAAAAGCTGCTTCGTATAATCGTGAAGCAGTCTGATTTTAAGGACAAGCATTTTATTTTCAAGTCAAGATGAAGCATTATATTGAAAATTCTTGAGATCTCTAACAACTGTCGCCAGTCTCCAAGTTCGAATCAAACAACGAGTTTTGGATGATACCATTTAGACTGCTTGATGCTTAAGTTGAAAACTATACATATCCGAGATCTAATGTGAGAACTTGCAGCCTCAAGAAGTTTTATATATCCATGTGAAATATCACAAGATCGCTCCTGACTTCAAGGGGTACATCTTGAATCGGTCACTCTGTGTTTGTCCGGTCATTCAGTCCTTCGATAATGGTTCGCGTATCGTTCTGAAATCCACATCGACGTCCAGGGGTACGCACTGAATAGACCACACATTGGAAACGAACAAATTTGCATGATTTATGTCATTAAGATATCCTCTCATAGAAACTATAACGCCGTAAAATGCTCCTTGGGTATTGAACGCCGTTCCATCGATATGGGTAAACTAAATTTTTCCTGCGCTTCTTCCTTACGCTGGGGGTGTCTCATGCACAACAACGAGTATGTATTTTGGATCCGGGACAATCACAAGCTCATGTTTCTTCGTTCGTAGACGCAGGAGTTTAACCTCATCCTAATATTATGTCAGGTTGGCATTCCCGCATCACAGTCCGATTTCAACAAACCTCAACATCTAGTCCCTGCACAAGTCCCCCGGCTGATTTCACAAAACTCCATACCATAGAAGCTAATTCTTCGATACCTTGGCTCTCCGTGTTGGCTGCTGTGCTCGAATCTTCAGTCGCAACACTAGTATTGTTTGATCTAGAGGCTGAACGGAAGGCTGAGAACGATCCCGAGTTCTGAATGATGGTACCACTAGAGGTTTCAAGCACCAGTGTCGCCTCTACCCCGGGTTTCTTAGAGAGTCGTGCTAGAGTCTCTGCCAAAGCTTCTGCGCCGCTGCCCTTCAATTACTGTTAGTAAATGCTTGCGAACAATAGAGTTCAATATAACGTACAGTAAGCTGGTCGGTCATTTGAGGCATATCTGTTAATGTAGTGCAATCAGTGAGTTGTGAAAACAAATGGGTGCTGTAAACAATTAATGATACCCATGTGCAGGGGTAACATCGGAGTGCGGCGTAACCAGTTGTTCCGGGAGCTTAGTTGGGAACTTTTTTATTTTGCAGTCTCCAGATTCTTTCGAAGGCATCATTTTCCATAATAGTAATTATTCGCAATGGGTTTAAGCGCGAGAAAAAAGAGGGAAAAGAAGAAGGACTTTCAAGTGAGAATACTATCCCCTATTTCGGTTTACACAATTGACCCAATATTTCTAGAAAGTAAAACTTCGAGTTGGCAAGACTAAAGCAAAAGCCGACAACTTTACAGACACCAGTTTCAAGTCCAAATCAATTGTTGTAAATCAACAATCTCTTACAACTGCTGCACCTTCGAATGTTGTACAATTCACCCATTATCTTTCATTGGCATCGACCTCAAAATCAGACACTCAACGAAAAGATGCGCTCTCATATCTTACGACTCAACTCTCTTCTCAACCCGTAAACGAATCAATACCCATCCCAACTGCTGTTATTCTCCCAAAACTCCTACCTTTAATCCTTGATGGAAATGCCTCTGTGCGAGCACAGCTTCTCAAATTCCTTCGACTTTTACCACCTGCAGATATCGGTGATCGAGCAGAATCCGCCTTACTATACACAAGAGCTGGTATGACACATTTGGCCACCGAAATTCGAGTAGATGCTTTAGCCGTACTAGAATGGCTTCTTCAAGTTGCAGGAGAAGATGTAGTCTCATGTCCGGGTGGGTGGGTGAAAACATTGAAAAGTTTCATGTCAATGATAGGCTGGACTACAAGTAGCGCGACGTCAAAATGGTCATCTGCAAGTAGAGTTAGTTTTGGAATAAGTAGAGCTAGTTTTGAGAAGTCAGGGAAAACTCTTCCAAGACAATTGATGGTGCTTTCCCAATTTCTCAAGGCTGGCCTTGTGGAACCGGAAATGGTTGCGCAGCCTACTACGAAGGGAGATAATTTCCCGATATTCGATGTCGAGCGACATATGATACCTTCTAGAGCGAACGCATATGCGCATCTCAATCTATTTGGGTCATCGAGAGATGAAGAAGGAGAAATGTATATTGACAGAGAAGATCGCCAAAGAGTTTTCCACAAAAGATTCGAGGCAGATTTACTCATAGGAGTAGAGCATGCTAAGAGGGAAGCAGGTGAAGCTGGCAGAGCTGCAGCAGTTCTCACCAAAGTTCTACGGGATGGTATGAATGATTATAGTGGCGTTGATGATACCCAATAAAAGGACTTCAAGGTGGAGTTCAAGGTGTTTTACTAGGATGTCGTATACAATGCTGTTCAATTCATTTTATCCAATCTCTCATTTCTTCAATTCCCATCCTAGTCCTGGCGTGTCACTTATTTCTATTGTATATGTACCTAGGTGATTCGCCAAACTCAAACCAGGTGGCATATGACTCTCGGAAGTACCATTAAAATTGCCCTTCAATAGAAGCAGTATCATTATTATACAGTTTGATTGTACGCAGAGAAGCTCTAGGGGCGAAAGAAGTATATAGACTTCAGCAATTGCAGAATTTCTTGCAAATCTCAGAATGATCTCACAGAATGTACCTGAAAATGAAGATGTTTCGATGCTTAGAATCCCTCGATGTATCGATTTCGTTTGTGACCTCTCCGAATCTATCTGAAAAATTGACTTCATGCGAATTAGCGAATCATCTGACGAATTATCTGGAATAGTCAATAATTATGAGCGATTCCAAGAAAGGTTCTTAGATGTTTGAATACTTAAAAGATCCAGACAGACAGCTTCAACACTAACACAAAGAAAGTTAGACTAAATGCACCCCACCTTCCGGAAACGCTCTGAGACCAACAAGACCCACCAACCCACCCAATGCTCTCGTCATGTCCAACAAACACGCGCTTCACTAGGTAACGATGAAATGGCAATCAATATCTGAACATTACATTTCAGAAAGCATCATTGCCAGCTATAGAATAATTTGTGAGTTGACTGATCTTTATGAATTCCTTTGCCCATGTGTACCTCCATTCGGATTTCTTGTCTGCCCTATCATGCAGAAACTATGCCAAGCGGTAAACGTGTAGCATTGCAAGGCTGTCACAGCTGGCTTTGAATCTCATCTTACTTAGTAGTTCGAAAGGGAATTTAAAGCTGTTCAATTAGCTTCATGGGTACTTCAAACATGTTCTTATTACCATTCTGGTGTGTTTGAACTGTTCCTTTCTGTTGGCACGACGCAAATGCAAGTGCAGCAGATCCCCGGGCTCTCATAGGCTCATTATTTCACCCCTTTTCACGCGATGGCATTGTGTTACTGACCAACAACTATTGTAGGTTAAATTAATAATCATCTTAAGCATCACGCCACTCTCTCTTCTTTCCGGAGACGTCACATGACTCTTCATATCTCTGATATTGCACTTGGTCGATGACTCTTTTAAGCTGGTTGCTACCGTCAGATACCTTCCACTCAATCTTTTACCCTGAATGTGAATGCCAGATTTGATTTCGAATATCTGCACAAAAAGAAACTGCGACAGTGAGCACTTCTCAATACGTATCCAAGAAAATACTTTCTTTCATTATGACAAGAGTGGAAATCAAGCCAGGCTCGCCTGTCGAGGAAAGGCTAATAAAGAGTGAAGATTCTGGGGATGAAACTCTGCAAATGGATTTACCGGATATCGCAGCAGATAGTATTTTCGATGACGTAGATGTCGAAGACGAAGAGTCTGAATATGTGGATGGGAATTTTGAAGGCTTGGTGTTCATTAATGGTATTGAACACTTTGTTTGTCCAGGTAAATTGACAAGTGAAATACTATGCTGATGCCTGCTAATGGAGATATATAAGGGTTTAAGATCCGACAACTTCCTACGCCAATGATCGTCAAAAGGTCTTTAAGAATGCTCTATAATACCATCGTCAAGGGGAATCTAGTATTAGATCCAAACTATCAGAGAGCTAGTGTATGGGACGAAGGACGTGCTTCTACTCTTATTACTTCAGTGTTGATGGGATATTTCATTCCTCCAATCGTTCTTAATGTCCAAACAGTAATCAACAAATTGAAGGACGGCCGGAAAGAGGTGAAGCACATGCGGATCTGTGTTGATGGAAAGCAACGCTTGACATCGCTTTTTAAGTTTATGAGTGGAGAGATCGGATTTTTGGACAATTCACACCCGCCGAAAAAATGGTACTATTGTCAACCAACTATCAATGGTGTGTTGACACCGAGTAGCAACAGAAACATTTGTCCAGATGGATTGAAGAAGTTTTTCGACGACAAGGTCTTCTGTTGCTATGAGTACGACCATCTGACACAAGAGACTGAAGAAACTATGTTCCAGCTTGTCCAGCGGGGAATTGCTTTATCGCCAGCTGAGAAAATGAGAGCAATGTCCACTGAGTGGGCTAGATTTACTCGCATATATGAGGATGATTATGCCATGGTGATCAACTGTAAGTCCCCTGTAGTTTACGCGAGGAACATGGCTAATGGGTGATTAGTATCAAAGCAAAGTCGTGCATCAGGCTTTCGTCTTATTCTCACTATATTTACTATGATTCAAGAAGTTCTATCTGGACCAGCCAACGGTCGAAGGAGGAAAACTGTGCCCTCACTTCAAGCCAGTCCCCAAGCACTTATGCGTGTCCTAGAAGATCCAGAACCAATATCTATGGGTCTCAAACTCGCTTTCAAGGACGTATTCGACAGGTTTGAATCACTGATCAAGTTATCGTCCACGAAGTTACCAGACGGCCAATATGAAGTCCAACAGAACTCAGTTTTTGATCCCGCTCCCGAGTTTCTGAAGGAGGCGGATGTGAACCATGTCCGCACTTTCTCACCACTAGAGTTAGTAGCCACAGGTATTCTAATATCGTACCATAAAGACAGGCGATCAGACGACGTTCTTCTTTCAGACATCAAATCCCTACGTCGCTTTCTACGATTGAAACATAAAGATCTCAGAGTCAACGCTCAATGCTGGGCCACGGCTTGGGAATTCATCTCTGAGCACGTTCATCGAAATCCCAATCCCCTGAATAATTTTGCTCTTCGTTTACAATCGCATCGGGAAAAGAATGGAGCTGCTATCCCTACAGAGAGGGGTATAAGGAGGGCAAGATCGAATTCGGATTCCAGTACGCTGTCGAGTTTAGATTCGTTGTTCGAGGCTGAGGTTGAGCGGGACCGGGATGATTCGAGTGAGGACCCGGAGAGTAATTCTTCCGTGTCTAGTTCGAGTAAGAGGGTTTTGGTTGATTCTGCTGGTAATGAGTCTTCTAAAAGAGTGAAGATGTAATCTTGCATTGTCGGCGCAATGTTTCACGTTGATTGTTCTCCTGGTGAATCGGCTGATGGGAATTTGGTTTGCTGCATTTTTGGGATTTGTTTTGCCGCATTTTCTCACGTGTAAAGAGTTTTCTAGCCAAGCTTTGGCATGATGGGTAGAGTAGATGTGTTTATGCCGGCGCTCAGCTTCGTGTTTGGGAACCTTGTTTGTGGCGGTTCACAGCAATGCATCAGGAAGGGTGTACATGGTAGAATTACAGTTTGATTATTGTATGATAGAGATATAGAGCTTTGGTTAATAAGGATAATACGTAAAGAGTTTGAGCTGATCGTGATCATTTTCTTCATGTGAAAAACGTGTGTCATTTTATTGACCTACTTTCAGCTAGACATTTTAACTAACTTGATATCAAACCCTTCGGTCCCGTCTTGTAGAAATTGGATCATGGATGGATTGCTCATTTATCCTTTTAACAAGGACATGAAAGATTAAACTTTGAGGGATACATTGAGCAAGGTATAAACAACTACCAAAGTTACTAATATATATATTCGAAAACTTCACCAACATACATCAATTCGAATGACTGAAAAGTAGTTTGGCAGTATTGGTGGGCCGGTTGCCTTCGTCTGTGTTCGGGCGTTTGTTACCGAGTGGTGCCCTGTCAGACGAGTTTAAAGGAGAATTGTAACATTAGGGTTTCGACCTGAAGTTTTGCATTTTTTGGCCCTCTTTCTCTTGAGTTTTATCTCTTTTTGCCAGAATCGTTTTTTTGGTTATAATGGACTGTGATGGTGGTGATGGTGGTGGAGCTTGGTAAGCGAATGACATAAATTTTGTATTACATATTCACTTGTGATCAATCGGTCTCATAGCAATATCCTAGCATCACAACTCCCAAGAAGCTCCCAATCCCAATCCCTCAACCGCCCATTCCTTCCATCCTTTCTTTTCTCCTACCAATCTCACTTTCTCCCACTCTTCTCTTTCGACAGACCTCCACTCCTCAATAGGTATCCAACCAATATACGCGCGATCCCCAAATCCTCCTATCCAGTAGATTTCCTGCACAACCAAGCGAACCCACTCGCTATGATGAATATGGTTACCTGGTAACCAATATTTAGCATCGGGGTGCGTGTCGACAAAACATTGTCTTAACTCTTGTTCTTCTGCAGGAGAAGTAGTGATGGGTTCGAGGTATCCCAGGATGCTGAACCGCGGTTGATTTGCCGCCGAAAATGCGAATGGGTCTGGCTTAGAGGATATGCGGGATTTAGGAGGGTAAGGAGGGGTCCAAGATAGGGAGAGAGAGATATTTGGGTTTGAGACTGCGTTTTTGAAGGTGGTTGCTATGCTGAGAGCGAGGATAGTAGGATTGTTAGTTGTCGGTTCACAGTCAGCTATGTAGTCCATGAGACCGATGGGGATATTCTGGAGATTGGAAGGGCGGTTTTCGAAAGTTGATGATGAGTTGGGGAAGATAGTCGAGAGGGTTCCGAGTGGCGTGAGATGGAGAATGCGACGGGCGAGAATGGCGCTTTCGCGGGATGTAGGTATGCGATTTGTAGATTCGGTAGAGGATGGATTATTGATAACGTTCTCTGGAGAAGAAATGGCGATTGGTATGGATGAACTGCTTGTAAGTTGAAGGAGAGTGCTCAAGAGCAAGGCTCCCAATGGGACTTTTGAGAGGTACATTGCGAAAGAGCTTGAGGAAGCAGGGTAAATGTTTATTAGAGGTAATGGAGGCCAAATGAAGATGTGTTTATATGATAAATATTCAATAGAAAATTGACATTCACTATGTAATAGTTACATAATAAGATGGTTTATAACCTTACCGCTGATGAGATGTGATGGTACTCGTGAACAATCCGAAACTCGGAAGGGATTACGGTGATAACAATGGATCTGATAACGATAAGATCTCTTGGCGTTCATGTGATTGAATCTCTTGACACAAGTCGTTATCAATTTGAAATTGTACCTTTAGACTGGAAGTAAAGAATTAAAACCTTCAAAGTTTTGAGATGAGTACAGCACGGTACAGTGTGAGGAAAATCTCAAAAGCATATTTATGTGTTAATTAATGGAGAAAATGAATTGATATGCTGATTGAGCATGTTCATGTTGTATTGTGTTTTTTTGGTGTTCTTCTGCGCAAGAATTGAAGAACGACAAGAGAACAAGGCTCGCTCGTGTATATAATTGTCACGTGATCCAAGATGAAGGGCTGCCTAATTTCGAAGCCCTAGCATTTTTAGTGCGAAACACCAAGCGATGGTGCTAGAGTAAGCAGCAAAGAAAGAGTATACCGACGCATCTCACGAATCCATCGACAACCCAACAATTCAGCAACCGCGTACGTATACCCATATTATTTTATCAAATCTACGGTTCCTGCCATCTCTAGAATCGCTCGCAGATTTTCAAATTGATTTCCTCATCTCTGCGAAACCGATCTACTTGCATCTCAAGGGGAAGAACATCACCGCTTACATTTGCCACTTTTACAGTTATCGGAAATATCAATCGACAATATCCCGATAAACCGCAATCATGGGAAAGGTTCACGGATCCCTCGCTCGTGCCGGAAAGGTCAAGTCTCAAACACCAAAGGTACGATTCCTCTGATATAATTCTCGATGGAAGTCATGGACACCGAAATGGGCGGGTTGGAGTGGCGAACAAGATCTTGAGGGTCATTTAGGCAGCAACATGGGAGCATGGAAACGGGAATGGGATGCTTTGAAAGGCTGCACATGATTTTGATGAATCAAATCATGCTAATACGATATCACAAATAGGTTGAGCCACAAGAGAAGAAGAAGCGCCCTAAGGGACGTGCTGCCAAGAGAGAGAAGTTCGTTCGTCGTTTCGTCAACGTTACTTTGACCGGTGGCAAGAGAAAGGTTCGACAACACCATAAACATTATCGAATCCAAGGTGGTTTGCTAATCCAGGAAATAGATGAACCCCAACCCAGGAGCTTAAATAACCAAAAATTGATGGATGGGGAACAAGAGGGGCGTTGCTTGTTACTATACACAAGAATTTCACCACGATGGGTTTACGATTACGATTCAGGAACTAGAGAATATCTACTCCAAGTTCGGACGGGAATCCATTGGTTGAAGGGAAAGCAATCTTCTGTAATGGGCGTATATGTACATTTGAGGAAGTGGTTTGCTGCTGAATTGAGATCAATGTTATCTTGATCTTTCTCCGTCTCAATACTTGTTCATTGGTTTCTGCAGATGTGATGTGATATTACGATGTTTTCTTACGCTGCAAAATGGTTAAGGCGAACTGGGCAGCCCATTTGTGCGGGGCATCGGCCGAGGTCTTGAGAAATCGATATGGGCTTGCCATTGGCCAGGGGTACTAGAGATTCTGGCCACAAATCTCGGTCCCGTATATTTCATAGGGATCTGACGACAATCAACAAGTTTCGACGTCTTCCTCACATTTCTCTTTTTGTGTTCTGAACATCCGCCACCCACATATAATACACATGCAACGGCCATATCACGACTTGAATGAACCTTTGCACTGAAACCATCATGTTGCTCCCATTACGTCTCAACTGAAATCACTTGTGAAAGATGACAAGATGTCAAAAGATCGCTTACTTTTCTTGACTGTCGCCATGAATCTTGGTCTCAGATCTCTTTTCAGCGCTCCTTGCATGATTTCTTGTTTTCTATCCTATATGTACAACATCTTTATTTCTTTCTTTTGATGGCGAAATCAAGGCCATAGTAAACGTGCCGTTTGGTTCCTTGATCACCATTGTATAATACCAAATTATCGAGGAAGCGAGCTTTAAAGGTGTCTGTTTTCCTTCGTGCTCTTTTTCATTCGTATTTATACAAGTTGCCAGTTCATCTTCGCTCTCTGGGTGTATGGAACAGACGCTCTAAACTACACTGAGATTTTCTAGGGGATTATGACACATGATTGTAGCCTCTTTTTTTGCCTCCATCGGATGCTTCGATGACTGGTGATCAATCCAAAACCTACAATATGAAAGGTGTTCAGCATCCATCCGAATGCGCTGTTCAAACCTTTCTCGGATATTGAGTTTTTGATAGTACCTATCTTCTCGACTGTCATATCTTCCTTCACTCACTCAGACTTGGCTTGTTTTCGCTGTTACTGAATCCCTAAACCTGGGTACCGAAAATCGACTCACGCGATGAAATTCTCGCATACACTGGCGTAGCATAGCGCGGCTAAAATTGACATCTATGTCGCTTCAGTTGTTCTATAATCTTCCTGAATATTGATGTCGTGACCTGTAAAATGAGGTTTCGTGGGATGAGATATCGATAGATATATCAACCATGGAGGAGCAAATCAAATTCGAGGAAATGGGATAGGAATGAGAGGTTTTTTGGATGCGGATTGAGAATGTGTTTTATACATATCATGCTTTTTAGAAGATCTGTGTCTGTGTCTGTATAGAAAAGATAGATGGCTTCATTTTCTTTCTTTCGTTCTTTGTCAAGTAGATATTTCAAAACTACTCGTATTTATCGATTCAACTACATGGCCAGCTCCAACTAGCCGGCTCCAAATAACACCACCAATACAAATACAAATACAAATACAAATACAAATACAAATTCAAAAAAATCCCTCAATACCACCCACCCACCCACCTCATCAACTTTACCAACTCTCCAACCTCATAACCCTAACATAAGATGACATTTCTGTAATCAACCCTCCCCCCTCCCCCAAAAAACCCTTCATCACCACATCTCTCTGGGAAAACTTACACTTACCTACTAGGTAGTCCCCCCCTCTCCTCCCCTTTCCAAAAAAAGAAAACAAAACAAAAGAAATCCAGCACGAAATCTCAATCTCCCCTCCCCTCCGTCTAGACTTTCTCTCGAGTCTCGAACTTCTACGCAGATTGTATCTAATCTAAATTATCTAATCCACCTACCTATACCTACCTACCTACCTAACAATATTCAACATTCAAGAACTTTTATCAAGTTTAAAAATCTTCTCTCTCATTCATTCATTGCATTCGCCATGCACACACAAATCCAGATCAAAGTCGAAGTCAAAATCAGTCAGTCAATCAATCAATCAAATGAATCAAGATCATATTATTCTCCAACTGCCACTATCTTAGTATCTCAGCCGTATTCTCACATATTCTCTGGCCTCTTTCTGTGCACTCTACTACATTCCCATTGCCATCATTGCCATTCCCATCGTAATTGCGATGCCTGCCAACCATCCAAGCGCAACAACCGAATTCAGATCCATCGACCCAGTCCAACCAAATTCCTTCAACCCCGTGAATCCATCCAGCACAGCCAAGCCAGCATGCTCTCCCCAATCTCTTCATGCCCCCAGAAATAGAAGTCCCTGTAACAACCCGTCTATCCGGATATCAAATCATGTCATTAAAGAACCCCTCAAACCCTTGATGCGCTGCTCCGACAAAAAGACCAAAAATCAATGTGCAAAAACAAGAGTAAAATCAAACCAAGCCAAGGCCAACCCCTATCATATCCACCCACACGTCAGCCAACCCAGTACAATCCGTACCCATCATCCGTATCTGCTGCAAATAGTTCGCGCGCAGACACAAATATCATGGCCATAATCTCCCAACTCTCAAAATCTTTCAAGCACAGTGCAAAAGAAGAAAAATCAAATTCGCACGATCAAAGTCTCATTGCTCTTAATTTGCGTACAAGAGTTAGAGGATCGAACGAGTAGGTAGAATAGAAGGAAAAGTAACATGATATCAAAGTTCTTAATGCTGGAAACAGAAGGGAAAAAAACAAGTTTCAAAAGAGCCTCCCAATAATCCCGCCCCTTCGTGGGGTATATAACCTGAGATGCATTACGTTGATTCGATCCATTAAGAAAGAAAAAAGCATCATCATCGTATCATTTGTATCTTAAAATATAAAGCGCGAATCCTCGCTGGTATCATAAAAGGACGAGTATAAGTAACTCCAAGGAACAATCAATTGTAGCCACCAACCCCAGAAAAGATCATAGGAAGGAAAGAACGTCTATTGACGTCATTGGTAAAGAGAACGACAAAGAAGCTCGATCAGAGACTCATGGTTAGCCATTCCCATTCTTGAGGACCAGCACCGGAGCCATTAGGTCCATTTTGACTATTCATAGTCATTCCATGTTGTGAACCTCCCATGCCCATTTGCATTCCAGAACCTCCTTGCCCCATCATTGGTCTTGCTGGCATACCAAATCCATTGCCTAGGCCCATGGATCCATTGGTGCCCATCAATCCCATGCCAATAGACTTTGCAGCCTCGTTGCTACCAGTAGAAGCTTCAGGCGAATCAATATCCATACTCTCAATTGCACTAACACTTTTGCTATGTCTTCTTTGTCGCTTAGGTACTGCATTTGATCGAGGCATACTAGATGCTGCACCAGGGCCGGGTGTTGCTTTGGGTGGAGCAGCTGCTATAGGAACCACACCCTTGCCTCCGCTAACACCTGTTGTGCCTGAAGAAGAGCCCGCAGAACCATGGTAGGAAGTTGGAGTACTGCCCGCAGTGCTTCCACCATTTCCTAATGAACCTGTAATTGAAGGGGGGCTAGCACTCTCATTTGCATTTCTTCCATGGCTGCTCGTGGGTGTTGTTACTTGAGTTTGCGGGGCTGTGCTGACCATGCTTGTTGCTGCAACTATCGAGTTCTTTCTAGTGTTGGGTCCACTACTCATTGTGCCTATTTTCTTAGAAGCTCTCGTTGAAGCGCCACCCGAGTTACCAATAGGAAGTGTAGCACCAGATCCTCTATTTCGCTTTTTGATGACATCGGTTTTTAAGGATAAGGGACGTACAACACCGTGGAGCTTAAGGAAGAGACCGCAGGCATTGCAAAGTGGGTGACCTTCAGGGTTTCGTCTCCAGAGAGGTGTTGTTTGTGTAAAACAATTCGTACAAGTTGTCGGTACCCCATTATCTCCTTGACCAGCTGCCGCTAAATTGGTAGTCGAGCCATGCTTAGATCCACCAGGAGATCCTGGTCTACTGGGTGCAACTGATGAAAATCCTGACATGTTGTTGGTATCTGGTGGTGAATTTGATGCAGAAGGGCCTGAGTTGTCAAACATGCTATTCTGGCCGAGAAGTACTGCATTTGGTGTCGAGGCAGTTCGAGGAATCTTTTGTCTTCTATCATTTCTTGAACGATTATCGGAAACGGATTGAGTAGAGCCGTGATGTCTCCCAAGGGAACCTCCAGATCCATCCCACTCTAATGGTGACGATACCATTTCTGTTCCTCCAATGGTGACTTGTTTTCTTGGCGGACCTCCTGGATATCGTGCTGCCTGAGTATTGAATTGTCCTGACAAACTAGCATCCCACTGCAAGCTACCACTTCCATGCATATCCATGTTCTGGTCGTCCAAAGGTGACTGGGCAAAATCGTGCTGTAACATGAGTGTTCGATCGGCAAAAGCTTGACTTTCATCATCTTCGTTATCGGAATCGGCTCCAAATGAAAACATGTGTTCGTGACCAATCTGGACACCAGGGGATCGCACAGGATGATCGGGTTGGAAGACTTGGGATGGATCTATGTGTTGTGACAGATTAAATCCACCGGCGGAGGCAAAGGAGTTATTCGAGGGGCCGGAGGTTGTCACTGCAGTGAACATGGATCCTCCGTTGCCGTTGTACATATATTGCGGTGCCATAGAATTGGAAAGACTTGAAGGCCCTTGATTGAAAGTGTGAGGGCGTTGGTGTCGCATATTCATTCCGTGTGAAAAGTACATTTCCTGTCCCTCTGGAATGGGCTGAGGAGTAGAGACTGTGGAAGGATAAGCGCTTCCAGGAGGAGAATAATAGTCGTTTGAGTTCAAGGAGGAAGACGGCATCGAAGCATTGTTGTACATCGAAGAGAACGGTCCATGGGGAACGAGGGGTGAATGGGAGGGAGAGAAGTTAAAGTTTTGTTGGAAAGGGCCTGCTGAGGTGATAATCGGGTCATTGTCCATGTTGAAAGTGTCTAGTTGAAATGGTACACCTGGCACTCCGTGGTTAAATGGTGGGTGAGATTGATTCAAAGAGTATTCTTGAAGATCATCGGGGTCATTTGGAATCATTATGCTGTTGACTTGCGGCGAAAAATCGGCCGGTCGTTTGCGGGCCTGTTAGTTTTGTCAGTCCCCAACCTTGATGGCGCTTAAGATGTGATTTAATTTTAGAACCACGGGAAAGGGAAAACCTACACGTCGCTCATCAATACTTGTTTTCCTCACGTTTCTCTGCACGTAATTGAATTCTTCGTTACTTCGAGGAGCGTGGTGAGGAACCGGAACAGATTGTGGGACCGAAAAGTGCTGTGTCGATTCTTTCCGCATTTTGATAGGAATCGCCGAAGCTATCGAGTTAGACGATCTGTCAATCTCTTTTTTCGTAAGTTCCGGGGAAGGCGACGTGGCGATTCCTGTTGGTGTGGATATACTATCGGAAAGGATATAATCGTCCAAATTCATGGCATCAGAAGTGTCTACAGTATTTTGGTCTGTAGATTTTCTCAGCTGAGCAATTCCACTTGGTCCAGTCGAAGTCTGATTTTGTTGAGATAAACTATTATTACTGTTAGGGTTTCCTTTGTAAACATCAAGGACTCGTCGACTTCATACCGAGCATTTTCTTCCTCCTGCTTGCGCTTTCGCAGATTCATTGCCATCATGCGCCATGTCAAGTTCTCCAATCGCTCCTGGTTTGGCAGAGTCTTTTTTGTTTTACTGTATAACTTCCAGATCTGTGTTGCCAAAGGATCCTTCTTTTGCATCTCATCCGTGTTATCGAGCTCCTCGCCGGCGGAGCCATCTTTCCAAGTCGGAAAGAAACTCTCACCAAGCAAATCATCGCGCGCACGGCTTGACGCTGGGTGATCCAGTTTGTCTTCCTGAGCTTTTGCGCTCGCGCCAGAGCTCTTTGTTTGGTCGTTAATGTTATCGTAAGTAGTCGTTGATTGATTCGCAGATGTCGGTTGAGTAGATTGATTTTCGGGCCTTCGAGGAAATCTATAATCGTGCTGTGTCCCTATCGATTCTGATGCTGTATTATTATTTATTTGCGAGTCTCCACTTGTATGCCAGTCTTCAGATGAGTCGCGGAATCTTTGTAGATACCCCCCACGCTCAAGGTATTGTGCCGTTCCAGGCATTTTGTTGGAGCGACACACCTCCTTCTCGGACGGTCCTCGCCCAATGTAACAGTAATCCCGCAACCGAATCCAATCCTAGGATGCTTCCGCAGAAAATGAGCTTATGGCTATATTCTGTGAATATATTATTTGTGTTTCTGTTCTTCGGGGGAGGGGTTGTTAAATCGAACGATCCCTTTGAGCACACTTAAACTTTCCGAATTTGCGACGATTGGACGAAGGTCGAACAAATCTAGAGTTGTTTTCAAATATGCACTGTTGGATCCGCAATCTTTTTTTTTTCCTGTTAACCCCAAATGCAGCGAGTCAGATGGAAGTGGTGTCGCAAATTTCGGAAATCTTGGCCGAAGATTGGTGGATGACAGACAATTGTTCA